ATTCACCTCAGCCTCCCAAAGGCACGGGATTATAGGCTGAGCCACCGAGCCCAGCTGGGGTGCTATTTTAGATGAGACGGTGAGGACAGGTTCACAAGCGAGGGGGCTGAGGAGGTGAGGGACCCTGGAGACAGCTGGAGACAGAATGTCCCAGGTGGCAAAAGAACCACAGGCACAGGTCCTTAGGCTGAAAGGACTCAACATCTGTAGAAGAGCAGGGAGGACAGCAAGGCTGCAGGTGCATGAGGCTGGGAGGGTAGAGCAGAGATGGCAGGAAACAGGCTCTATAGGGTGGCAGGAACCCCAGCCAGGCCTCTAGTAGAATCTGTCTGCCATAGGAAGCCCCAGGGCAGCGAGGAGTCAGATGCAGGCTGTAAGCACTCTACTCTGGCTGTGAGAATGGACTCAGGGAGAGGATGGGCATCCTGCTGCTGCCCTGAGCCCTGACCTCAGGATGCAGGAGTCACACACAGACTCCTGCAGGGCAGACTTGCTGTGGACTCTGGAGTTCAGGTGCACTAGAGGCTCACTCTAGCCTCACTTCCTGGACACCGACTCTGCCAGACCCATCTGAGGAATACCTCGGAAGTAAGGCATTCACCCACCTGAGCTCTACGTGGGCCAGGAAGAGAGACCAGCTGGAAAGGGAAGGAACCCAAAGCCCCTCCCATGGGCCTTGGACTGAGACAATTTCCTCGGGATAAGAGCCTCCTTCACACCTTCCCTGCTCCTGCCCTGTGTGGTTTGCAGAGATGGATCCAGGCCAGAGCTAGACCTGTTAGGCCAGAGTCTCTAACAGTCTTACTTCTGGGCTCCTCCTCATACCCTCATACAACTTTTGCACGTAGCTATTCAAACCCTGGGCATGGGAAAGCCTTCAGGAACTGAGGCGGCCTCAGGGGCAACCAACTGGTGTCCTTACCTTGAAAGACAGGAAAGTCAGTCATGTTTTCATATCCAGTGTAGACACTGGTGCAACGTGACTGCACCCGTACCACACACACTTCCCTGCCAGTCTGCATTATCTCCACTCTTCTTCCTTCTTGCTCCTCATTCTCCTTTATGCTTCCTGGACACAACTGTCTAGTGAGGCCAGCGGACTAAGGGCAAAAACATAGGGGAATAAATGCCTCCTAAAAGCACTTCATCAAGCAGCACTCCTACCTTGAGGCTGAGGCCATGACGAACTGGGGGCGATGCAGTTGTCTTCAATCCAAGAGTCCAAGAACCTTTAAGATAAGCAAGTGAATTTTAAGAACCATACCTTCATAACAAGGAAGACAAGAGGGTCTTCCCACCATTCAAGGGAAACACCTCTCCAGCTCAGGGTTCACCATCTTAAGGTGTCTAGTTGGTTAGTTAGAGGGAAAAAGACCAAGCTCCTCCATCTAACAATTCACACCAAAATATATTCTTGGGCAGGGCTTCTCATGTGAGAGCTACTGGCATCTGGAACTCCATGAGTCTGTGTCTGTTGTGGGGCCGTCCTGTGGGTTATGGATGTTCAAGGGCATCCCTGGCTTCTACCCACTAGACACAACACCCTGTCCTCCCAGTCGTGAAACCAAAAATGTCTCCAGACATTGCCAAGCATGCCACGGGGAACAAAATAGCCCCTGGTTGAAAACTCCTGCTCTAGAATAGTGCTGCCAAGAGAAGTTTCTGTGATGATAAAAATGTTCTGTATTGGCCTTGTTCAATACAGTAGCCACAAGCCACATGTGACCCTGAACACTTGAAGCATGGCTGGGGTAACTGAGAGACAGAATTTTTAATATATATATACTTGAGTTTTTACATCATATTTTTAATTTTAGGTAAGTTAATCTAATTTTAAGTTAAAAAGTTATATGTAGTTACCAAATTAGACAGCATAGCATAGTTTTAGATATATAAAGAAATAATTGTGAAAATGAAAACTTTTAAAGTTTATTTAAAAACAGGGAATAGAGAAGCCTTTCTTGAAGAAAATGCAAAAACTTAAAGGAATATGGATAAATTTAACTTCATCAAACATTGCACAAATCTGTGGTAGGCAGAGAGCTCCCTGTTACTCACCTATTTAGTATTCATACCCTTGCATAACCCTTTCCCTCTGAGGAGGCTGGACCTCATGACTGATTTTTCACAAACAGAGTATGGCCAAAGTAATGGAGCCAGGCAGATGAAACACAGAAGCTCCTGCCATTCTCTTGCCCTATGAACACAGGAGCCAAATGGATGGTGAGAGACTCAGATGCTTCTGGACTTACAGAGAGGTTATGTCCTGATAAACCCACAGCAAGTTGAAATATCAAAAGTCGAAAATGCACTTGACACATCTAACCCACCAACAGCAGAGCTCAGCCTAGCCTACCTTAATGTGCTTGGGACACTCAGGTTAGCCTACAGGAGGGCCGACTCGTCTATGACATGATATGACAGCCTATGACATGATAAAACGCTGAATGTCCTATGTAATTTATGGAATACTCTACTGAAAGGGAAAGGCAGAATGATTGTATGAGCACTTGAAGTACCGTTTGTACTGAATGCATGTTGCTTTTTCACCATCATGGTAAGGTGGGACAGTCTACACCTGTTTTTCTCTTCTGAAATTAGGCTACAAGGAGACTGAGCCTTCTCTCTTGCTTCTCTCTCACCCTCTCTCTCATTCACTCAGAAGGAAGGCAGCTGCCATATTCTGAGCTGCCCGAGGGAGAGGCTCATGTGGCAAGGACCTTAATGTGGTTCCTGGCCAGCAGCAAGAAGGAACTGAAGCCCTCAGACCAAGAACCCACAAGGAACTGAATCCTAAGGAACACTTCTTCAATAAGCCTACAGATATACAGATAAGACCACAGGCCCAGCTGACAGCTTGACTGCAACCTCTAGAGAGATGGTGCCACAGAAACTTAGCTAGGCCATACCTGGGGTCCTGACTGGCTGGCACTGTGAGACAACAAATGTCTGTTGTTTTAAGTTTCCAAGTTGTGGGGTAATTTGTGATGCAGCAACAGATAACTAATAAAACATCTACATTAATAAAGCACCAAAACAAAAGCCAGAGCCTGTCAGAAGAAATTCCCTATGCATACAACCATCAAAGAACCAGTATATATAAAAGAATTCTTATAAAATGATGAGAAAAAGGTAAGCAACGCAACCAAAGAAAGGGTAAAAGATGTGAAAGGGGAATTCATAAAAATAGAAACCTAAATGGTCATAAACAGCTGAAGAGAAATGAGGAAAATGTAAATGAAAATCATAGTAACAGCCATCTCATGCCATCAGATGTATGGGAATGCATGTTTGCTAACACACAGGGCTGTGAGCAATTTGGGAATCCAGTAAGCTTAATATGAGCAAATGCATCAACCCAGCCATCTTCTTTCTGGCTATACACCCCAGAGAAACACAATGATGGGAAGTCCTCTACAGCATCATCCATAATAGCAAAACACCAGAAAAGCCCTGAAGACAACCATTTTGGAAATGAATATAACTATATTGTATAGGAGTTAAAGAAAATGAAGTACCTAGACTGAAAACAGATCTTGAAAACAAGTTGCATAAGGAAAACTGCAAACACCCACCAACAATCTCATGTGTTGATCAACACTATGCTCACTGGAAGAGTATAAAGCCAGGTCTGGGAAGATACACACTAGCTCTTCACAGAAGGGGTAACTACAGGAAAGGGCAAGAAACTAGAGTGGGGGAAGAGGAGATGGGATGGAGGAAGTTGGGGGTCACCAACCAGAGCAGTTATTTCTTTTTTAAAAAATATGAATGATGATCTATCACAGAAAAAAAGAACAGAGTACCATATGTTCTCACTCATAAGCAGACCTTGAACAATTATCATAATACTAATAAGAAAGGGATTGGCAGTATTGGGATACTGCTAAGGGGGGGGTGGGATTGGCAGATGAGGCAAACTGCCAGGGGAGGGAGGGGCACACCTCATCAACAAGAGTACCTGCATAATGAAAATTTGTATGCCTAACCCTGAATTGTACCCTACATCTTTAAAATAAAGAAAAAAAATGAGTCAAATATGGCAAAATGTGGTGACATATGTTAAACTGTTTGGTACATTTTTCTCTGTATTTTCTGTATGTGAAAAAGTGCTGGGGGAAAAAAACCTGTCATCTGAGAATTCTATACTCAGCAAAGGTGTCCTTCAAAAATAGTGGGCGAAATGAAGAAGTTTCCAAACAAGCAAAAGTTGATGGAGTTCATTACCATTAGACTTGCAATTAAAAAGTTGAAATGAAAGAATGATGGACAGTAACTAAATCATAATGTTTTCCAGTAAAAGTAAATAGTAAAAAAAGTAAATAGTAAAAGTAAATATATAAACTAATATAAAAAACAATATTAATTGTAGTTCTGATTTTTAACTCTACTTTTTTTTTTTTATAGAGTAAAAAGACAAAAGCATACAATAGAAAGACGTAATTTGTGACATCAGCAACATAAAGGGTACAGAGCTTTGTAAAAGAAGTTTGAACATGTAACAAGATTCATGTCACTGCAAACTAGACAATTACTATATTAGCATATTCTACATAATCCCACTGTAAACACAAAAGATATCTATGTATTCATATATGTATACACACACACAAAAAAAGAAATGAAAATCAAAATATGTTACTACAAAAGAAATCAGCTAGGCACAAAGCAAGGCAGTAATGAAAGAAATGAGAGCCAAAAGCTATGAGACACTTAGAAAACAAATAACAAAGTGACAGAAACTAGTCCTTCTTCATCAATAACTACCTTAAATGTAAACTGGTTAAACTACCCAATAATGTAGAAGGAAAGCCTATCATTTGCAACAACATGGATGAATTTGGGCAATAACATGCTAAGTAAAATAAACCAGACATACACAAATACTGTATGATATGATCTCACTTGCATGTGGAATCTAAAAAAGTAACTCATAGAAACAGAGAGTAGACTGGTGGTTGCAGGGGTTGGAAGGTTGGGAATAGATGTTTATACCAAGGGGTATAAACTTTCAGTTATAAGATGAACAAGTTCTGGGGGCCTATCTACAGCATGGGTGGTGATGGCTATATTAATTAATTTGATTGTGGTAATCATTATATAATGTATACATACATCAAGTCACCACATTGTACACTTTGAACTATTCAACCTTTATTTGTCAAGTGAATATTTTTAAATGTTTCAGTTTTTAATTAAAAAGCTATCCAATCAAAAGACAGAGACTGAGGAAACTGTAGCAAAACTGTGAACCAAGAAGCTTCAGGCATTCAATCCCCAACAAAGATGCTGAGTTAACAACAATACATGTATCAGAATACCTTTGTGATAACTCTAAAATAGTTGAGAAGGCACCAGGCCAAGAAAAAACCAGGAAGGTATTCCATCAAAAGGCACAGAAAAGTATGTGGCATTTTGCATGCTGACCCCTCTCCCTGCTCGATGTAGGGCCGCTAAAGTCAGGAAACCTCCCATACTGGGGCTCTGCCCTGGTAACAGAAGCAAAAGCATGGCCCAGGTGTCCAACATTCTGGCTTGGCTGGGGCTGCCTAAGAGACTGGTTTCTGCCTCACCTCACCTGGAGCACTGCTGGGAACAACAGCACGGCTTAGAAGCTGCTGAAAACAGGTGAGTACCACGCACACTGGAGCTGTAGAGATTCCCGCAGTTTTAATGGGGGACGAGGGGAGAGGGGGTGCACACAAGAGATCACAGGCTCCTGGTAAGAAATGGGAGAAATGGGTTTATAAAAATCGAGACAGTTAAAAGTACATGTACAAGCCCAAAGAAGACACAGGAAAGATCCCAGAATCTATAACCAGCCTGCTTGGTGAAGGTCTTCCCTGAATGGAGCCAGTTTGTAAAGACTAAGAGACATGGTTATTTTTTCAAATGGCCAAATGTCAACAAAAGGTCACAAAGCACATACACATACAAAACTGAAAAGCATGACTCAATCAAAGAAAAAAAATAAAACTCCAGAAGCTGACTCTAAGACATGAAGATCACTGAACTTCTTCACAACGAATTCAAAAGAATTGTCTTAAAGATGCTCAATGAGTGGGCATCCTTGTCTTTGCTTTGGTTTTCAGGGGAAATGGTTCCAATTTTTGTCTGTTTAACAGTATGTCTGCTATGGGTTTCTCGTAGATGGCTCTTATAATTTTGAGGTATGTTCCATCTATGCTTAGATGTTCAAGGGTTTT